CATCGCGCCGCCGCCGCCGCCGGAAGCGGAAGCCCCGCGCGCCGCCTTCCCGGAAGCGCGGGCGCCTCATCCGGAAGCCGCCGCGGGGCACGACGGGAGCCGTAGTCCCGCGCCCCGCCCGCCTCCCCGCCGGACGCAAGGCCGAGCCCTACCGCGATGGCGGGGAGGGGCGGAAAGGGGCTAAGCGAGGTTGCCCGGCCCGCCAGGCTGGAGGAGGCCGAAGGGGGCGCCGCTGCTCGGCCTCTCCGGGACCCGCGCCCGGCTCTGGCCCTGTCAGCCACCACCCGCCCAGAGGCGACCCTCTGCAGCCCCCGGTGCCCGAGGAAGCACCGCTGGAGCCCGCACGGATGGCTCGGCTCGGCCGGGAACGATGTGCTGAGCGGCCCAAACGCCTGACTACAGGGGTCCTCGACTTACAACAGTTCGCTTAGCGACCTGCCAAAGTTACAACCCACTGAAAAAGTGACTTAGGACCGTTTCTCACACTTACGACCCATGCAGAATTCCCCACGGTCACATGATCACAATTCAGACACCTGCCAACTGACTCGTATCTATGAAGGTCACAGTATTCTGGGATCACGGGATCCTCTTTCTCCACCTTCTCCAAGCAAAGTCAGTGGGGAAGGCAGATTCACTTAAATAGCCAGGTTACTAACTTGACAGTTTCAGCGATCCACTTAACATTATCTTACTTAGCCACATAAATTTTAGGCTCAATTATGGTCATAAGTCGAGGTCTATCTGTACTCTTTATCTCCTGCTTCGGATCTTTGTTGTGTGACTCCTCCAACTGTCCATTCTCCAGATCTCCTGGCATAGCTCAGTTGCAGCCTTGACTGCTTCCTTTGTTGCTTGCAGCATCTGGATTCTTACAGCCTTTTGACTTGGAGATGGCCGGAGGGGGGCGGGTATCTCCCTTGTTCTTCTTAGAGGTTCTTGGGGACAGACAGCATCTCCTGGCTTAAAAACAGCAACTGTGAGAGGGACCTTGGAGTCTTAGTGAACAATCACTTGATTATGAGCCAGCAGCGTGCAGCAGCAACCAAAAAAGCTAATACAATTCTGGGCTGTATAAACAAGGCATAGAATCAAGATCACGGGAAGTATTATTACTACTTTATAAAACCCTAGTGAAACCACACCTGGAATACTGCAACCAATTTTGGTCACCATATCACAAAAAAGATGTTGAGAGTTTGGAAAAAATTCAGAGAAGAGCAACTAAGATGATCCAAGGCCTGGAGGCTAAATCATACGAAGAACTGCGGGACTTGGGTTTGGCTAGTCTAAAGAAAAGAAGAAATAGGGGAGACATGATAGCAGTATTCCAGTACCTAAGGGGCTGCCATAAGACAGAAGGGGCCAGGTTGTTCACCAAAGCACCAGACGGAAGGACGAGAAATAATGGTTGAAAACTGATCAAGGAGAGAAGCAACCTGGAATTAAGGAGAAACTTCCTGACAGTGAGGACAATCAACCAGTGGAACAGCTTGCCACCAGAAATCGTGGGTGCTCCATCACTGGGGATTTTTAAGAAGAGACTAGACATTCACCTGTCTGAGACGGTATAGGGCAGGGGTAGGCAACCGTGGCTCTTTTATGACTCGTGGACTTCAACTCTCAGAATTCCTGAACCAGCATGCTCAGCATGGAACCTCTCCCTTTCCCCTCAGCATGGCTGGCTCAGGAATTCTGGGAGTTGAAGTCCACGAGTCATAAAAGAGCCACGGTTGCCTACCCCTGGTATAGGGTCTCCTGCTTGAGCAGGGGGTTGGACTAGAAGACCCCCAAGGTCCCTTCCAGTTATTCTATTCTGTTCTATTCTATTCCTAAGGCATCTTGGGTGCTGACATCTCTGCTGCTCCGTCTTTCTGGGTCTTGCTTCCCTCGTCCTTTGATCTTTCAGCTGCTTCCTGACTGTCCCTGGGTGTCCCTTACATGCCAGTTTGAAGTCGGACCCCTTTTCTGAGTTCAGAGATCTTTTGAAAGACTCTCCTTGCTTTCCCACGTCTGTTGCTGTCCTGGGTGTCTTTACAGGAGCTGTGATGCTGTTTCTTTGTCTCTTCTAATAGTTCTCTGAAACTCTGTGAAGCTCTTTCCTGAGAGTTTTGTCTTTCCTCGCTTCGGCTTCTGCTCTTTTCTCGGCAATTTCCATGGTTTGTTTTGACATCCACTTTGCTTTCTTCTGCTTCTCCATCTTTGGCAGTCTCTCATCACATTCCCCCTTAACGGTTTCTTTAAGTTCATTCTATAGTTCCTCTGGTTCTCTATCAATGAGATTCTCAACCTCACAGGGATTCCTCATGTTCTCCTTGAAAATGGTGGGTACCTGTTCAAGATCATATCTTGAATCTCCCCACCCCTTCACCCCATCAACATATCCATTGCTTCTTGCTTCTTGTCCTGCCTTTGGGTGCTTTGGAGAATAGGTTGACCCCCTCTTCTTTGTGGCAGCCCCTGAGATATTGGAAGGCTGCTATCATGTCACCCCTGGTCCTTCTTTTCGTTAAACTAGGCATAACCCAATTCCTGCAATCGTTCTTCGTATGTTTTAGCCTCCACTCCCCTAATCATCTTTATTGTTCTTCTCTGCAGCCTTTTCAGAGTCTCAGCATCTTTTTTTATATCCTGGCAACCAAAACAGTATTGCAGTATTCCAAGTGTGGTCTGACTAAGGATTTATAAAGTGACAGGCCCCAACTCTCCTCATGCTTAGGAAAGCGCCCAGGCCTTGGGAGTCAGTGTGTGGGAATCTCCCCTAAAGTTGCTGGTTGTGTGCTCAGTTGCCATTTCACATATTAAAATAGGCAGGGGTGGGTGGGTTTAGAGGTTATATATTGTAATTTTTATAAAACTTTTCAATAAAAAAAAATAGGCAGTTTGGTCTAGTGGTGAAAGCACTAGGCCAGAAACAGGAGGAGAGTTCTAGTCCTGCCTTATACATGAAAGCCGGCTGAGTTACTTTGGCTACTGACAGGATTGTTGTTGTGGAGAAAATAGCAGAAAGGATTAGGTATGTTGATCTCCTTATTTATAAAAATAATAAAAGTGGGATATCAATAAATAAAATATACTGCAGATTTTAGAATTTGAATTTTGTTTGCTGTTTTTTTTTCTTTTTGGTTTATGGTGTATTTATACTATGCTCTTTATGTACAACATAAATACCTAATAAAATATGACTCTGTAGCAGAGTCACATAGTTTGAGTTGGGCAGCCTTATAAAACCTGAATGAATTAATACAATTTAGTCATGGAAACTGACTGACCTTGCTTAACAATAGAATATAATAGATTAGAATAGAATAGAATAGAATAGAAAACAGAGTTGGAAGGGACCTTGGAGGTCATCGAGTCCAACCCCCCTGCTCAGGCAGGAAACCTTATACCATTTCAGACAAATGGCTGTCCAATCTCTTCTTTAAAATTTCCAGTGTTGGAGCATTCACAACTTCGGGAGGCAGGTTGTTCCATTTATTAACAACTATAAAATTACATTTTTACATGAGCAGTTCACGTTCTGTTCCACACTTGGCACTTAGCCAGGGGTTTGCTGCTGTTGTTGAGCTGCACCACCTCGGATTTGGCAATCATTGTTCGCAGTCAAGGAAGGCTGCTTTACAGCCCGCAAAACCACTTCCGGGCGTCATAAAACATTCCTCCCCCAATCCCATGACAGGAACTCAAGCGCCTAGGAGCATACGTGCATTTAGGACTATGACCCACTGTGCCCTGTGATCATGCGATCACCATTTACAATCTTCTGAGGAAGGTTTCAAGTGGAGGGGGGGGCATTGGATTTGAGGTCAGTTCCCCCAATGCACTGAGGGATTTCCCCTCCCCTCCACACAGGAAGGAGAAATCCTTCCACCTTTGGAGGAACAGACCTCAAATCTGGTGAAAAGCCTAGCTAAGTCTATCGTTCTTGTGACTCTTCTCCCTGGTGGGGCTGGGAGAGGGCCCGGCCCTCCCGGGTGGGGCGGGAGGCCTAACGTCAGACTCCAAAAACCAAGAATCAACCAGGGTGAGGCTTCCAAGCAGACTCCTTTATTCAACCACACCTCTAGACAGAATCTTGCCAAACTGAAGCAGACTCCCCCTACGTGAAGCGCCTACTCTGGGAACCCTTAGGGAGGAGCCACCTTCACCCTCTTTCTCTCACACAAAGTGTCTGAACCCAGCTGTCTTTTGCTCTTCTGTAATCCAGACCATTACATTCCATCACACCCAGCCCCATTCCTTGCCCCACCACACCCAGGAGGCCTGGGCCCTCCCCCTGGCACTCCATTTAATGACCTACACTTAACCACTGCTGGGAGAGACCAGGATTGGGGGCACTGAGCAAAAAGTGGTCCTACGGCACTCGTCATAACAGCCACACCACTGGAGGACCAAGATTGTGATCCTAAGTGGAGGGCTACCTGTAGGTTGATTTTGGCTGCAATGGTCATCTTTGTTACTGTGACCTCCCCTCCACACACACACACAGTGGGGCGGGCCCAGTACTGGCCCCTGGTGCTCCTTTGTCCCCAGGGGAACACAACTGGCCCAGCTGCCACCTCAGTTGTTTCACTTTGGAAGCTGCCATCGCATTCCGAGAGGTGCTGCTCCCAAAGGTTAGGTCAGCAAAGGAGGAGCACCGGGAGAGGCTCTATGGCATGCTGGCTGCCCTGGCAGTGCCCATCTCCCGCCGCAGGTCCCCAGAGGGCAGCCTTTTGTGTTCTACAGGTAGCTCTCCACTTGCCGTACTTCATTTAGTGATCGTTCAAAGTTGCAAAGGCACTGAAAGAACTGACCACCATTGCTGCCCATTGTCACGTGATCAAAATCCGGGCGACCGGCTCCTATTTAACGACGGTTGCAGTGTGATTCCCCTTTTGCAGCCTCCCGACAAGCAAAGTCAGTAGGGAAGCCAAATTTACTTAACAACCGTGTCACTAACTTAACAACTGCAGGGATTCCCTTGGCAATGGAGGCAGGAAAGGTTGTAAAATGGGGCAAAACTCACTTAGCAACAGAAATTTTGGACTCAACTTGTGGTTGTAAGTTGAGGACTATCTGTATTCAGACAACTCTCCTATTTCTGATTAAGAAAGGGGGAGAGAACACGTGGAATGTGGCTTCTGGAACTTTGCAGAATTCTGGAATTTTTAGATGCCCCCAGGAAGCATAAACTGATGTGTACAGGTGTGCCTTTCTTTGTGTATGTACTCCCCTTCGGCGGTGTCTGTGTCACACAAACACACACCTAACAAGCAAGGACTTTCAGCCCGGCGCCCCCGATGCCCTCGAATCCCCCTCTTTGACGGGACGCCCCCCCCCGCCCTCGCTCAGGAACCCCAGGCGGAGGGAGGGCGCGCGCTGGGCGGGGCGAAGGGCGGGGCCTCCGGCCTTGAGTGGCAGCCGCCCCCTCGCCTTTGTTCCCTGATCGACGACACCGCGCCCTTGAAGTCCCGGCCAATGGGAGGCGGGCTCTGCCTCAGAGGCGGGACGCTGAGGCGGATTGACGCAGAGGGCAGCCACTGAGCCCTCCCTTCCCGGCGATTGGCGCCGCTTTCCTCCAATCAGAGCGGCGAGTCTGGCGGGCGTCCAATCTTCGACGAGAAGGGCGCGGCTTCCCGCTGCTGTTATCGTCCGCCGCCCGTCCGAACGAGAGACATCCAGTCGGGGGCTTTGCTGGCGGGAGCGGGAGCCGGAGCGGGAGCCGGGCGGTTACGGCGCGGTGGCTCTTCCAGCCGGGGAGATGTCGAGGCGGGTGGGGCTCCGGCAAGCCGCTTGGAGGCGAAGAGTGGCCGCCGAGGCGACGGCGGCGCCCGACTCGAGTTCCTCCGGGAGACTGCGCCCCTCGACGGCATCCAGCCCCTGAGCCCCGGGAGCGCAGGCGGACGCGGCCCGCGGGAGGCGAGTAACGGCGCTCCGGGAAGCCCCTCAGCTGCGGGACTACATCGCCCGGCATGCCCCGCGCCCAGGCGGAACCAGGCAGCGCGCGCGCGGCATTATGGGGGCCCGGGAGGTGGGGCGGGAGGGGTGCTCGGCGCGAGGCATCTCGGGAAGGGTAGTTTTCGCCGGCGGAGCCTCCCGCAGCCGCTCTGCCCCGGCCGGGCGAAGGAGGGCCGGTGGCTGCGGCAGCGCCGGGCTTTTCGGGCTGCCCTGGATGGGCCCGCTGGGCAGCGCTGCCCTCCGCGGGAGGCTGGCCTGGCTCGGCCCGCGGGGCGTTTGCGCGACCCCGAAATTGCAGTCTCTGGGGGGCTGCCCCTGAGAAGGGGGAGGGCGTCAGGCTCTTCTCCAAAGCCCCCGAAGGCCGGGCAAGAAGCGACGGAAGGAAACCGACCAAAGAGAGAAGCAACCTGGAACTAAGGAGGAATTTCATGACAGTGAGAACAATTGACCCATGGAACAGCTTGCCACCAGAAGTTGTGTGGAGCCTTTTCGAAATAGACTGGACGGTCACTTGTCTCAAATGGTGTAGGGTCTCCTGCTTGAGCAGGGGGCTGGACTAGAGGACCTCCAAGGTCCGTTCAAATGTTGTTATCCTGACTCCACCAAGCGCACGTCATCCTATCCTGGGCTCCACGGAACCCACTGAACCGCTTTGGAGCTGCACGCTGAATGCCCCCCAAATGGAGGTGCCCTACCCAGGCTTGTCCCTCGGAGACCTGACTCCAGCAGGGCCAGCACAGCCTGGCTCTGCAAGGCAAGGGGGACACCCCTAAACCCAGCTGTGGCTGCTGAGCCCCAAGCAGCCCTGCCTGCCTGCCTGCTGAGCCCGGGGCCTGACCCAGCAGGGCGTGGGGGAGGTGCTTCCCCAAGGCAGCCTGGAAACTTTTGAGAGCGTCCATCAGTTCCCAGGAGGACCCTTGGGTGGCCTGCCCTGCCCTCTTGCAGAGGGGGCTGAGCTCTCAAGCAGGCATGGCTGCTGTGGCTGAGCTGGGCCTTTGCTCCCTTCCAGCTGCCAAAAGCACCACCTCTAGAAAGACTCGCAGCCCCTGGGGCTCTGGGTTTTGCTGTTGTGCTAAGCTTCTGAGCTGAGACTAATGGGGAGGCAGGGCCCAAATGTTTTAAGCAAGGCAGCAGAGGAAGGAGGCTGTTCTTGAAGAGACGTGGCTGGGGCCCCAGCAGCCTCCTTCCGACCACAACAAGAGCTTGACCACAAATGTGGACTTTCCCAACTGCGGAGAAGAATGTCAGAAGCAAAGTTGCATGTCGTCTTGCCTTGTAGCTTTTTTTTCTGGGGCAGCCGAGGGGGTCTCTGGGGGCACAGCTGGCAGGGGTTCTTCTTAAGGCGTTTGATGATCTCTGCGGTTCTCTTCAGGGCATTGCTCGGCCCGTCCGTTTCCACCCTCCCATCCCAAATCTGCTCCCCTTTTGAGGGCAGGTTTTCAGGCCCAAAGCTGCTTTGATGCGCCATCCCAAACTGCAAGGAGAGTGCCCTGCCTGGGATTCCCCCCTCCCTCCCCCCCGCCCCTGACCCACACAGCGCTCTCTTCCTTTTCCTGAGGGGTCTCTAACCAGGGGGGGGTCTCTCCTTTATCTCTGCCAGGCAATTCAACTGCACAGCAAAGTACCGAAGACTGCTTTGGCACCAGGAAGTGCAATAATGAAGTTGTTGGAAAACTCCAGTTTTGAAGCCATCAACTCCCAGTTGACAGTGGAAACGGGAGACGCGCACATTATTGGCAGGTGATGGCGGCTCCTTTGCAGGAAAAGACCGGGGGGGGGGGAGACCCACGCGCTTTGTAATATGAGTCTTCAATTATGCTTTTCATAATTAATATGACTTCATATTGAGGCATTCCTGGTAAATTGGTGTCAATTCTGTGCTAGAACCCATCCTGTCAAAGAGCCCCCCCCCTCCACCACCACCCACCCATTAGGCCAGTGATGGCGAACCTTTTAGAGCAGGGGTAGTCAACCTTGGCTCTTTTTTGACTCGTGGACTTCAACTCCCAGAATTCCTGAGCCAGCGTGGCTCAGCTTGGAAACCTCTCCCTTTCCCCTCAGCATGGCTGGCTCAGGAATTCTGGGAGTTGAAGTCCACCAGTCATAAAAGAGCCAAGGTTGACTACCCGTTTTAGAGACCGAGTGCTCAAAAACTGCCCCACCTCTGACCCGTCCCCACTCTGCTCCGCCCCCCCACCGCCTCCACGGCCTGCCGCAGATCACCCAGGCGGCCCTGCAGCGCCATGGTGGCCATGCCCTCCACCCGTGCCCTGCAGCATCTGCACACAATGGGGTGCGAGGGTGGAGTCTTGTCCCTGCTACCTAGCTGCCATGTGCTTGGCTGCGCTGCTCCACGTGGGCCGCACCCGGGAACAACTCTCCTCCAGGGTGTCATGTGTCTGATTAACGAAACACTTAAAAGGACTTTCAGGCATATTTTCTCCTAAAAGCATTTATTAAGGTTACAGAGACGTCAGTACAGCATGGTGGAAATGCTTAGGTCTGCTTCTCTTCCATTATGCATATACATTCCAAGCCTTTCCCACTCCCTTATTCTGGGGTCATGGTTCACATCTTCCAATCAACTTGGAAGATGTGATTTACTTCCCGGCTATCCTTATGCTCCTCCGTCTTTCCCAGTTGCTGGTTTAACTATATAAATACCAGACAGTTCTGCACATTGTCAAAGCAAGAATATACAGTATTTGCAGCGTTGACACGGGGCTGCGGGGCTGGGGCCACGCCGTGTGTGCCCACAGAGAGGGTTCTGAGTGCCGCCTCTGGCACCCGTGGCATAGGTTCGCCACCACTGCGTTAGGCGATTCCTGTGAACAGCCCCTTGAACCAAAGCAGCTGCTCTGCCTTTTGGCCTCCTCTGCTGACCATCCGCGAGATTCTCCTTTTGGGGTGATTGTGAACCTGTCTGGTTGTGAACGTTTATTCTTCCAGCAACTTTTGCTGACTTCAGCTGCTTCGACAGCTTCTCTTTCCTGAGACCGGCCTACAGTTGGGGTCCCCTTTCTGTTCTTTTCCTTAATTTTCCCAGCTCTCTGTTTAATTCCCGTCACCTTTTGTTTTCATACGGCATCTTTATTAAACCCTTTGTGTGATCACACTGGCGACTTCACACTTTCTTCTCCTCACTGGAAGCGTTGGCAATTTGGTCGTTTTCTCTGCTGTCAGGGACCACCCAGACCGCTCCCCTCCTTTGCTCTGTGCTTCTCCTTTTGCAGTTGCAACTTTTTAATTAGGACTCCTTAGGAATCGTGGCTCTGCCCCCAACTGGGTCTGCCTTAAAACTGGGCCGTCAGAAAGAATTGGCAGATCCCTTGCGGCTGAAAAACCATCCTGATGCAGAGCAGTCAATGACGTTATTATTTATTAAATTTATATGCTGCCCGTCTCGCCATCGGGCAACTCTGAACGAACGAACAAACGAATGAATGAAGTATTATTCTGACTTATTGCTGACTTATCTTGCTGATGTGTTTAAAGGTATAGGAGGAGCTCTGAGGCTGGAAGAGGCTGGAGGCCCCTTTGGTTAAGGTTCTGGGCTATACAGCAGCCGAGAAGGGTCACCCTCTGGCCTCTGCCCTGTGCAGTCAGCCGTTATAATCTGAACAGAGAAGCTGGGTGGCTAGACAACCTTGCCTTCCCTGAAAAACAGGCGCCTGGCTCCTCCAGCTCAGGAGGAAGTGATGGCCCCCCAGCGACCCCGGCTGGGGGTGGAGGCAGGGCTGGCCTCTGGGCTCACAGGGACCCGTTTATCTCCCCGCAGAATAGAGAGCTATTCGTGCAAGATGGCTGGGGACGACAAGCACCTCTTCAAGCAGTTTTGCCAGGAGGGTCAGCCACACGTCCTGGAGGCTCTCTCACCGCCCCAGACCACCGGCATCAGCCCTAACCGGTAGGTGCTCCCTGCCCGGGGCGAGGCTCCCGTGCAGAGGCCGTCTGCTTGGTTTGCACCACCGGTGAGCTGTCGGAACAGGGCTCCCCCTGGAGTCGGGAGGAGGAAGAGTGAGGGGGGAGGGGTTATAAGAAAGGGGCCTCTTCCCAGCCTCCCCGTCTAGGCCAGGCCAGCGGCTGGACGGCCAGCCTCCTTAGAAGAAGCCTCTGTCCAAAGGCTGCTTTGCCCAGTCCCTGTTGGGAGATTGGGGCAGCGTCTCTTCAACCCCCCCCCACTCCCTCCAGCTGAGCTTAGCAGGGCCCAGATTGCGGCGAGACCCCAGCTGCGCCCTCCAAAGCTGGCAGGGGCCCAAGCGGTGTGTCTCTCATGCCAGGCTCAGCAAGAGCCAGAGTGGAGACGAAGAGGGTCCCCTCAGTGACAAGTGCAGCCGAAAGACCCTCTTCTACCTGATTGCCACCCTGAACGAATCTTTCCGCCCGGACTACGACTTCAGCGCGGCCAAGAGCCACGAGTTCAGCCGGGAGCCCAGCCTCAACTGGGTAAGCGGGTCCCTCGCCCTCTGCGCCGGCAGGGCAGCCGACCCTGCGACCAACCGGAAGGCTCTGTCCCGGGTCTGCTTGCCCGAGGAGTTGAGTGGGTGTCCGGGAGAGACCTCCAGGGGTTAGGGGGCTGGAACGGCCCTGAGGCTACTCAGCACGCAGGACATCGCCAGTTCTGGCCTAGCTCCACAGCGGAGCCCCCCCCCCGTACACACTGGGCGTCTCCCCAGCAGGGCCACCGCTCTTGTTTGGGGGAGTAGAGGCCAGCCCTAGGCTGCTTTGTCCCGCTTCCTGCCCGTGTTCCTCCCGCTGTCATCCGGCCTGGCCGGATCTCGGAGGAGGCCCCTTCTCCCTCTTTCCCACCGTCCTCCGCACTTCATCCGGAGATGGTTTCTGACCAGGCAGCCTAGGGCGAACGTGCCAGGCCAGGCCAGGCCACTCCTGGAATGCTGCATGAGCTCCTCCATCAGCTTCTGCCTCCCTTGGAGAGGCTTGGGGTCTCCTCCTCCCGAGCCACCGTCTCCTTTCCAGGGGCCCCAGGTCCCGCTTGCACTCCGGGAAGTGTCCATTTAGGGGTCTTTTTCAGGTGGCGAATGCCGTGAACTGCAGCCTCTTTTCCGCCGTCCGGGAAGATTTCACCGCCCTGAAGCCTCACCTGTGGGACGCGGTGGACCAGGAGATCTGCCTCTCCGAGTGCGACATCTACAGGTGGGACCCAGCGGGAGGCCCTGGGGGGTGGGCAGGGGAGGGGGGATCCCCGAGGCCCCCCCAGCAACAGCAGCTCACCCTCTGTGCCGCAGCTACAACCCGGACCTGGACTCGGACCCCTTTGGGGAGGAGGGCAGCCTGTGGTCCTTCAACTACTTCTTCTACAACAAGCGCTTGAAGCGGATCGTCTTCTTCACCTGTCGCTCCATCAGGTGAGGAAGGGGCGGGGGAGGCCCCAGGGGTCCCCGGCTCTCCCGGCCTCTGGGGTGGGTTCTGAGCCTCCTTTGTCCCCCCAGCGGCTCCACCTACCCTCACTCCGAGGCTGGGAACGAGTTGAACATGGACCTCAGTGAGGACGATGCCGAGGAGACAGCCGGCAGCTACGACAGGGATGGGGGCAGCATTGAGGCGGAGAAGTGAGTCGTCCCCCCCCCCCCGGTCTTGGCCTCCTTGCCCTGCCTGCTGCCATGGGGGGGGATCATTCTTGGGCCAGGCCCGGCTGCCTTCTGCCGCAGCTGCAGAGGTGATGGCCGCCCCTCTTCTGCCCACAGGAGGCAGGTGGTCTGCATGTGATTCCTGGGCCGGGGGCTTCTCCCACGAAGGACGGCGCTGCCAGCTCTTTCCCCAAACAACTCGGTGTTGTTGCGTTGCTCTGCCTGCCCTGTGGATGCTGTGTGAGCCATTGTGGCGTCTCCAGATGCCCCGGAGGGTGCCAGCAAGTCCTCTGTCCGTCCGTCCACCCGCTCGGCCTTCAGGGATCCGATTCTTGCCCGGCAGCGGCCTTGTGACTCTGTGTCTTTCCCACCGTGCCCGGGGGACACAACTTTTCGCAGGGACAGCTGCCCTGGTTGTGAGGGGCAGGCTGGCTGCTGTTGCTGCGGGGGCTCCTTTCAGCCCTGCCCCCCCCGGATGGAGTAAAGAAGCAGAAGCCGAATTAACCTGGGAACAGGATGGAGAGGCTCTCTCCTCCCCCTTTTTTAAACCCCCCCCCCAAGACTTTTGGCATCAAGTAGCCGGACTGGCAGGAGGGAGCTCCTGCATTTGCCCCCCCCCCCCCGCTCCCTGGCTTCCCCCAAGGGCTCCTAGAGATTTTATTTTTGTATTCCTGCCAAGGGTCTGCTTGCGCCTGGGCCCCTCCCCAGCACTTCCCCTCCCCCTCCCCAGAGACTGATGGAGGCTGGCGTTGTCCCTGGCCCCCAGCACCTCTCTCTGCGCTGAGGGGGGGGGCGTTCCTTTATCCGTCCATGCACCTGAGCAGCAGGTCCCCCCCTCCCCTTCTGCCCTGCTCTCCTTTTGCACTGACTCGGATTCCTGCCTCTGCGGGTGTGTCTCTTTGTGTGTCTGTTTTGTGGAGTGGGCAGGTGCCGTTTTGCAGGTTGCAAACATTTGGAAAGCCCGCCCCCCCCACTAGAGCCACTGGTGCCCAAGCAATGGGGGGGAGGAGCAATTTCCCACAATTCCCTGCCTTCAAATGGGGTGCAGAATAAAGGGGTGTGTGGGGGGGG